CCTTTCTTCTCTTCAAATTCCTTACTTGCATGCAGTTCAACGTGCTGAAGTCATCCTGCAGAACTTTTATCAAGTACTTATTATTTATGAAATCAGTCTAATCCCATCATCAGCTTGGTTCATACATAGCAAGGTACACCCATAGTTAAACAGGAGAAGTGGAACATTTTCCAATTTATCTCTTCCATCACAAGAATGTTTAAATCAACCGAATATTACAATGGAACAAAAACAGAAGTTGCTGGAAAAGCTCAGCAGGTCTGGCAGCATCTGTGAAGAAAAAAATCAGAGTTAGCGTTTTGGGTCCGGTGACCCTTCCTCAGAACTCCAGCAACTTCTGTTTTTGTTCCTGATTTACAGCATCCGCAGTTCTTTCAGTTTCTATCGAGTATTACAATGGGTAGTCCCAACCGAGGTAGAGTATTTGAGCTTGAAACCTCCTGTTTTGTAAGATTGAGATAATGATGAGGAAGGGATGTAAAAGAAATGGCTCTTTGCTGTTTCAACAGAATTTCAAATAAGATTCAAATTAAAGAGCGTAGCGTTCAGTTCACTCCAATGTTCACTCTCTTCAATCTTACTTGCAATGCTTGTCAGGCAGAACTGATGTGGGTACAGACACCAATAAAAAGTAGACACAAAGGGCAAATACAAAGTACCAAACAAGATACTGAGACGTTTGCCAACAAGATTCTATCCATGAAACAAGGTCAATAATGTAGCAGTTTCAAACACAGTCATTCAGTACTAGAAGCTGCCACTGTCATATATATCCCTCTTAGATTCGACATATCCTTTGGTCGATATTATTTGAACTTCTCTCCTTTGCATCCCCATCCTGGGACTCCCGATGATTCTCCAACCCCAACCTCATCGGATTGACATTCATCTGGACACCTTTGTAGAATTCACACTCGGGGTGTCGCACAGGATGAAATTGGGCCTCGGGTCTTTGTTACAATTTTATCCGTGAGCATTTGTTAATGACGGAGCTTCCAGCCTGTCCAGGCAGCAGCGTGAAGGTAAGGTTAGTGTGAGATGCTACAATCAGGAGTGGAAGGGCTTTGGCCGGGATTGTGACAACTGTTAGGATTGAGGGAGCATTCCTTTTCCTCTCTGCTCCACAGGGAAGTTCTTTAAAAAATGTTCAACAATGAAGAAGAAACCTTCCATCAGTGATCACGGGCAATGAGGAGCGATCAATAATTCTGAGTGGAACCTTTGAACAGGCTAGTGTCTCCTAACACATTTTGCATTCGATGGTAAAGGACAGTCTTCACAACTTGTTCAGGTGCCAGTCTACTCACTCCTAAATAAAATTAAAAACAGCTTGCAAAAGCTTCCTTAATTCTGGGTCATGAGCCAGAGTTTTGGGATCAAGTGATCTCAGGCAATAATGGGCTGCTGCAGAGGTTAGATGAAGTCCTAGAAGCTGCATGGCCCCTTTAAGCCATTAGAGGTCCCTCTTGAAGTGGACACGGCGTAACTGGCTGGACCTTGAGGAAGGGAACTGGGTGCTGTCTTAACTGAGAAACTTTGTGAATGAAGTCAGCCACCACCACCACCAAATTCCACACCCTCCTCCCAGCTCCAAAATAGGATCATAAAGGGGAAAGGTTTGGAAAGCACGCTGCACTAACACGCATGATGGCAAGATTTAAACCAATACACTGAACACAGGCCAGTTCTCAAGATCTCTGATAAAAGTGGAAAGTGTTGGAATTGCATCAAATATCAGTCAGCGCCTGGGGTCAATGCAAAGCAGAATAACGTGTTTTGGATGCACATTTTACAACCGAGGCACACACCCATAACATCAGAACTTATCTTTGCTCTTTACAGATATTGATAGTTTTGTTGCGGAATCCCAACATGATCTACCTTTATTTCCATTTTATTTGACTTTACTGAATGTTGTCTCTTTGCCAGAAACAATGTCTTTAACACCCCAGAATTTCACTCTGACAGATCAAACCCCATGATTAAAAGCTAACTTTAAAAAAAAGCTTCCTCATGTAAAGTCAAGCATCTGGATACTGTAATAAATTCAAAAGAAAACAATGCGATAAAAAAAAAAGTACAAATCTGTCTTAAGGCACGAGGTAGATGGAAGGCTAATGGAAAGCTAATGGAGTGATGGCCCTTGTTTCAAGAGAGTTAGAGTATAAGAGTAGGGAAGTCTTACTACAAGTGGACAAGGTGCTGGAGAGACAATATCTGGAGTATTGAAAGCAGTTATGGTCTGCTCATTTAAGGAAAAATATAATTACATTGTAGGCTGTTCAAAGGAGGTTCACTAGGATGACCCCTCCAAATGGCAGTACTGTCTTATAAGCAAAGGCTAAACAGGTTGGGACTCTACTCACTGGAGTTTATAATAATGAAGGGTGATCTCAATGCAACATACAGGATTCTTAAGGGGCTCGACAGATCAATGATGTTTCCCTTCATGAGAGAGTCTAAGACCAGAGGACATAGTTTCAGAATAAAGGGACGTTGATTTAAGATTAACAGGGCTGAGAATCTTTGGAATTCTTTGCCACAGAGAGTTGTGGGGGCAGCGTCCTTGTGTATATTTAAGGATGAGGTAGATTCTTGATCAGTCAGGAATTCAACAATTGTGGAGAAAGGGCAGGAAGGTGGATGTGAGGAATGTCGGATTAGCCATGATCCTATTGAATGGCAGAGGAGGCTCGAAGCACTGAATGGCTTAATCCTGTCCCTATTTCTTATTGTTTTACCGATAGCTTCTTGGTAAGCAAGGCATGAAAGGCAATCAGGGCTAGATGGGAATGTGGAGTCAAGGTCAAAACCAGTTCAGTCACGACTTAATAAGGAGCAGGTTTGAAGGACTTACTCCAGGACTTTGTACACTCATCTGCAGTTAGGGCTGTACACATTGTGGAGACCTGTAGCTTGCTCAAACTTGAATAGTTGTTACCCCCTACATTATAGCAATGAAACATATCCGAAATAAAGCTTTTTCTTTCTGCACACCACTTTGCCAGGAAGAATGTTGCTAGGTGATATCCTCTCGTGCCAACAGTCTGCAAGGACTCAATGTATTTAGTAGCAGCAATGGGAAGTGGGGACAAGTTAGGGGAGTAGCTGTGCAGTAAGGAAAATAGATCTTCGATTAGAGATCTGATTGGAGCAGAGGGAGGACAGGAAAACTTAACTGGCTACAATTTTGAGACAAACTTATATAACTGAACAAAATATAAAACATCTCCATCTAAGTTTTATTTTTATCCGCAATGTTTAGCTTCAGAAGTCACATAGGTCAGCTCCCCACAGCGTGATATTTTGTGTGTTTAGGTGACATCATTAAAACATTTCAGTGGACCCTAAGCATTCCAACACAACTCATTAGCTGGTGTGGAATTGTATCAGGCCAACTGGAGATTAATTCCACAGACAGACAAGTACATCTGCACTGGAATAGAAGCTAGAGCACTTGTAGCCTTCATAGCACCGTTGTGACAGGAATGAGTCATTCAGTTCCTTCAGCCTGTTCCACCATTCAGATCGACCATGGATCTTAACACAACTGCCTCAGTTCCATAAACCCACTGCTTCGCAGCAGCAGCTGTACATAGACATAAGACGCACCAAACAGAGTGCAAACAACCAATAATATAAAACAAAGAAATACAGCTGCTGGAAATCTGGAATGAGAACAGAAATGGCTGGAGAAACTCAGCAGGTCTGGCAGAAAGAAGGCAGAATCAATATTGCAGGTCCTAGAACCTTCTTCAGAGCTGCATACTACCAATGTTCACTTTAAAATGTGCACATTCGCACAGCAAAAATAAAGGGACTATAGGGAGCAAAAAGTAAGCATACAAACAGAGGGAAATAATATACTTAATCTGCTAGTATACTGTACTGTACTGTACATTAATACTGCACTGCCAGTGTCCTTATCTCTGAACCAGGAAGTCTGGATTCAAGTCCCACCTGGTCCATAGGTAAAACAAGATTTTCTGAAGAAGGGTCTAGGCCCGAAACGTCAGCCTTCCTGCTCCTCTGATGCTGCTTGGCCTGCTGTGTTCATCCAGCTCTACACCTTGTTATCTCAGATTTTCCAGCATCTGCAGTTCCTACTATCTCTGCTCCATAGGTATGTTGTAACACCACTGAACAGGTTGATTAGAAACATTTACCCTAGCCCAACAAAAAAAAATCTACCCCCACCCTCACAGATAATAAGAACTGCCAATGCTGGAGTCAGAGATAACACAGTGTGGAGCTCGAGGAACACAGCAGGCCAGGCAGCATCAGAGGAGCAAGAAAGTTGATGTTTCGGGTCAGGACCTTTCTGAATTTCTGAAGAAGGGTCCCGACCTGAAACGTCAACTTTCCTGTTACTCTGATGCTGCCTGGCCTGCTGTGTTCCTCCAGTTCCACAGTTATCTCTACCCCAACTCTCAGTTTTGAAATCAGTCCATTGGATCATGGAGAATGGAACGCGTTCCTTCAAAAACTGCTGTACCCATCCAGGTCACTTCTTCATATTCATGTGTTTTATGGGGCAGATATCTATAGTGTAGACATCCTTTACCCAGTTTGGCATTTGAATAGATTGAATGGGGTTCCAGAAAATGCCCCAAGTCTACAGCGTGCATGGATTTATAAAACACTTGCTTGACCTGATAAACAGTACTAGACAATGTGTTTATGAAAGCAGGAACAGGAGAGTAATTAACCCATCTCCGTTTTTAACTCCACCATTGCCCCTTTTCCAATGTATAAAGTAAGTCAATCTGATTGCCCTTATCCTCCTCCCAAAGGCGAATTAATCTCGAACTAGTTCATACTAATATACTATGGGCCTCAAGTCCCATTAAATGAATATCCAATTGCAACTTGTTTTTGGCATTTGGAAGAAACTTGCTATGTTTTGTCAAACTAAACTGTTTCTGTGCAAAAGTATGCAGTAATGCTCTAAAAAGAAACTGTTATTGTACACTCCCAATGTGCCTAACCTTTTTTTCCAGATTTCTGATTCAAAGACATTTATTAGAACAACCGATACAATGGCATCACTTCTAACAGTTTTAACAGTCACTTTCCTAATGTGCAATCTGTGGGATGTTGGAAGATCAAACAGCACAGTCTCAATGTCATCTACTTCACCTGCAAGCAATGAAGCTTCGACAATGTTGATCACTGTCACCTCAATGGGGACAACAGCACCATCAGTAGACCCCTCACCTACCATCTCAACAACTATGAACACAAACATATCTGTCATGCCCAACACCAACACATCTTCTATAGCACCAACAGACAGCAGCTTGATAACATCCACTTCACACATCAGCAATATATCCACTCCCAAACCCAACAGCACTGGAACACCAGTCAATTCTTCTGTGACAGATGCTAATGACTTAAGTACAACAACTAAACTTGCAGGAAGCACAAGTGACCCAAATGCGACAATGTCTACGACATCAAGTCACTTCAGCACAGTTAACAGCACGACTGAGTTAATGTCCACCACAGTCCAAAACATCAGTGATGCTAATATGACAGTATATTCGAATATGACTACTGCAGCGACAACAGTCCAGTTTAATGATACAACTACCACAGAATATACTACTACAAGGAATACAACAGCTGCAACTTCTATATCAACTATATCCAGCAACACTTCAACAACTGCCCCAAGGAATGAGACAAACACTACTTCAACCACAATGGCTCCATCTCCCACCATTTTTCAACAGAGTACTACAAGAACTCCAGCTGATGTAACAACCACCATTATTACTACGACTATTGTCACATTGACTGGCAATGGGGAAGGTAAGACTTTAATATTAAATACTAAGGTAGATCTTACACATTTCTGCCCCGAGTGCTGTATGAATCCATGGTCCTGAAGCATATTAACCCAATGGATAATCAGAGGACTGGAGCCCCTGATGCTGTAGCTGTGCCACTGGAAGAGATGGGGACAAGTCTGGGGTGGGGTTGGGCAGTGGGGGCTTGATTGAAAATTGAGGTGTCACTGGACAAGTTTGTAAAGCTTAGAATTTGGGGACCCAGGGCAGTTGGCCCTTTGGAATGGAGGGAAACCTTTCTAAATAGCAGGTGGAAGTCACAGGGATGGTTTATGATAGCTATTGGAATGGAGGGAAACCTTTTAATATAGCAGGTGGAAGTCACAGGATGGTTTTTGATAGCAATTGGAAGGGAGGGAAACCTTTCTAAATAGCAGGTGGAAGTCACAGGGATGGTTTTTGATAGCTATTGCACTGCCTTTGAGCTATGGAACATTGGTTTCAGCATGAACTCCCACTAAGAGGTCTATTGACTCTTCTGAGCCATCTCCAACACATTACATGCTTCCTTAAATAATCTGTTTTCTCATTAAGATATAGCCACTGTATACGAATCTCTTCAGGCACTCACTCATTTGAATTACATTGAGATTTCAATTAGCTCATTGACAAAGGCTTAGCCAATTCAAAAGTGTATTTTTGTAAGAATTTACATTCTTATTTCATTATTCACCTCTGTCTCACCAATTTAAATGTCATTCTCTGTGTTGGCCTCTTCCAAACCGTTTAATGCATTATACACTCCAATGAATTCTCCCCTCGACCCCCTTACCCCCAAAATTCTCTCTAATTGCAATCTTCATTGCTTCTCCACATTAGAGACACTGACAGGTTGATAAAAATCATACATAACACATGAAAAGAGCATCACTTTCACATTCACAAAACAGGATGATTCTGGACAGCGGAGATGAAGGGTCTAGGCCCGAAGTGTCAGCTTTCCTGCTCCTCTGATGCTGCTTGGCCTGCTGTGTTCATCCAGCTCTACACCTTGTTATCTCAGATTCTGCAGCATCTGGTCACATCTATTTTGGAACTCTGATAATACAACACACACTCTGAAGCACAACTTTATCTGCAAAGATCACTCACATCCTTCAGTAGAATTAAACTGAATTTATTTTTCATCTTTCTCTTGGAAGTAATTTTGAAGCAGCTAAGAGTTTAACATATTGCAGAGCCAAGCTTATGTACATACTGGTTAAAAATATAACAATTAGCAATAATGTCTATCCCACTGAAGGAAATCCCAAGCTCATGGTCTCACCTTCGTAACAAACCACAAACGTAGATTCTGCTTCCATTTATAAATGTTCATTTGTTGCTGAAAGATAACTGCTGCATGAATAATGAATTATTAAGGAAGGAACACAACAATGTTGGGTGACTAATTTTGCTCTGCTATCTCCATGACCTGACCCATTACACACTGATCCATTTATTTTTAAAACATTTCAGATCTGATCCCTCTGCCGGGAGAAGTTAGTGCAGGAGTGATAATTGGAGCCCTTCTTGGCTGCATTTTGGGAATTATTCTTCTCTCATTTCTGGTTTATGCTTTCTGTACACATCGAAAAACACATCACTTTAATCATCGCAGACTGTATGATAACATCTCCGGTGATCCAGGTATGCAATTGACAAAATGCTAATAGCAAAATGTTATACTCTTACAAATATCTCCATTTAGTTATCTATGCATACAACATATTACATTTTAGTCATTCGAACAACCAAATACGTTTTGTAAATTATGAAATTATGGAGGTTTGTAGCACCAGACAAAGTGGTGGAAGTGCGGTTAGCTGTTGTGTATTGGTAATGTCATTAGACTAGCAATCCAGAGCCAGGCTATTGCTCTCAGGATGTGGATTCAAATCCCATCATGGAAAGTGGTGAAATTTGAATTTGTTAAAAATGGCAACCATGTCAACTGTGACAAAAATCAAAAATAAAAACTGATTGAACCACGGGTGCTGTAAATAAGAACCAAAAACAGAAGCTGTTGGAAAAGCTCAGCAGGTCTGACAGCATCTGTGAAGAGAAATCAGAGTTAACGTTTCAGGAAGGGTCACTGGACCCAAAACGTTGACTTTGATTTCTTTTCACAGATGCTGTCAAACGTGCTGAGCTTTCCCAGCAACTTCTGTTTTTTGTTTATGATAAAAATCCATCTGGTTCATTAATGTTTCTTCCTCTAAAGAAGGATATTTGTGGTCCTTACCTGTTGTTACGTACTCAACTGCCCCCCAGGACAATTAGGTTGGGCAATAAATGCTGACCTAGCCAGCAATGACTATATTCCATGAATGAATAATAAAGCACTGGTGATAACCATTCAGCTATTGTGATCATGTCAGCTTAGTCCAACCACTCCAATACTAATTTGACTACACTGGTGTCTCCCAATAACGTGAGATCATCGACTGCTTTAAATACTGATCCATTTAAAAAAGGAGTATAATGGGCTTCACCTCAGCCATTCTCATTGAGATTTCACTGCACACCGATTGCAGCGGTTGACGTGAAGGTAACAAAGTGAAAAAAGTTTTCCCGTAACTTATCAAAATGCACTCCAGCACATTTACTCACACACAATTCCATTTGATTTTCTTTGTCCAACCTGATCTCCTTATCGACCTACCCTTGCAGTTTTCTTAACAGCCAAATTTGTTGCTGTGCCCCTGACCATAGGAGTGAGGATAGGACGCATGGCAAGAGGGCGAGAGAGAGAGGGAAATGAGAGAGATGAGAAAGGGATGAAAGAGGGGGAGAAGGAAAGAGAGGGAGAAGGAGAAAGACAGAAAACCATCTGAATGTGGGAGCTGGGGACAGGGCTGGGGAAGATGGTTTCCCTCAGTTCAGGGTGAGCTTGTATCTGCTGAGACAGCTTGTTGAACACCCATTTGAGAGTAGGGAAAAAAAGACAAAGGTCTGCAGACATTGGAAATCAGAATGAAAAACAGAATTTGCTGGGAAAGCTCAGCAGGTCTGACAGCATCTACTAGGAGAAATCAGAGTTAACGTTTCAAGTCTAGTGACCCTTCAGAACTGAAGGGGAGATCTAAGAGGCATTAGGGCTTTTAATTGTCCTGAAGTGTGTATTCCACACGCTATCTCCTGTAGAAGCTGTCCGTTTAGCAGGGTTACCCTGGAGCAGTGATTACTGGGGAGACTGCAGCTTGTTCCAAGGAGGGTATCCAGCAATGGAGCTAAGTCTGGACTCTAATTGAGGACAAGTTAGTGGGTTGGTATGAGTTGGCTGATCATGCAGGGCTGAGAAACATTGGGTGTGATGTTTTATTTTGGAGGCTGGGAGTCTCTGTCAGGTCCAGTGGACACCTAAGGAAACACGCCCTTCCCCAACAGTTAAAATAATTCACGTACAGACACGTTGTGAGTCGCTTCTGAAACAGGTAAAACAGCCACCTAAAGGTGTGAAATAACTCGTAGGAGGGCCTCCTGACCTCTCACATCGCCTTCGGAGCTGGGAACAGCATCCACAGCATGTTGCCCAATTTTATGGTCTAACAGCCTCTGCCCCTTCCCTCACCTGCTAACACAAACTGGGAAGCTGGAAAGTCCAACCAGGGTAAATAAAAATCCGATTGAGGAACACATTGGAACAATACAAGCTGACGTGATGCAACAAATTTCTTGTAATGATAAATAAGAAGTCTATGGAAAAAGGGTAAAAGCAGAACTTGGGAAGATAACTATTCAATGCTTATAATTCTATTTAACTGAAACTTTGCATGCACCAGCCTTATTCTTGAATGGGATGTGGGCATCATTGGCAAGGCTGATATTAATTTTCTTGGAACTGAGTGGCTCACAAGGCCATTTAGAGAGCAGTCAACCGTATTGCTGTGGGTCTGGAGTCACACATAGGCCAAACTAAATAAGGACGGCAGAGTGCCTTCCTAAAGAGAGGGATTTTTCTTTTTAAAACAATAATCAACAGTGATTTACATGGTCATCGGGAGGTTAACTTTTTATTTCAGCTTTTATTTGATTCAAGTGTTACCATCTGCTGTGGTAGCATTAGCTCACGTCCTGGACCACTAGATCACCATGCCACCACCTCCCTCTGAATTAAAAAGCTTCCCCAAAGACTTTATCACATTTAGGAAACTCAGTGCAGTTGTCTCGCCTCATGATAGATCAAATTTGCACATAGGGTCATAGAGATATACAGCACGGAAACAGACCCTTCGGTCCAACTCGTCCATGCTGACCAGATATCCTATATAAATGTAGTCCCATGTGCCAGCATTTGGCCCATATCCCTCTAAACAGCATACAGAATGGTCTGGACAGAGTGGATAGTGGGGAGATGTTTCCATTGGTAGAAGAGACTAGGACCCAAGGGCACAGCCTTAGAGTAAAGGGAAGCTCTTTTAGATCGGAGATAAGGAGAAACTTCTTCAGCCTGAGAGTGGTGAATCTATGGAACTCACTGCCGCAGAAGGCTGTGGAGGCCAGGTCATTGAGTATTTTTAAGACAGAGACAACAAGGTGCAGAGCTGGATGAACACAGCAGGCCAAGCAGCATCATAGGAGCAGGAAGGCTGACGTTTCGGGCCTAGACCCTT